TGGGATTTGTTCTCGCTTACGAGGCCCTGCTGCTACGTCAGCTGCCTCGATTTGTTTGAGAGGTTGCTTCCCTCGTTGGAGGATGGCGCGCCCTGCGCGTCGCGCGTTTGTTGGTATTGATCTCCCTTCTCGTGGGCTGAATGCTACCCACCTTGTTGTTGCCTTCTGGCATCGCGCCTGCCCCGGGTATGTGATAGCGATCAAAACGCAAGGGAAGTCGCTTGTGTCTGTCGCATCTCGGGGGTGAGGTCCCATAGATATGCTTGATTACGCTGATGGCGTTCGGCCTCCCTTGCTTGGTGTGGCTTATCTCTCAATCAAAGACCGGAACAAGCCGGCGCCCGAGATCTTGGTAGGCAGTTTTATTAGCTTACAAGCCTGGCCTGCAGCCAGCTGCATGACAAAGAGCGCGAGCGCGTGTCAGCTTCTCAGCGTCTCCCAGGGGTGGGCCTGCTAGCTTCAAATGAGTGCGATACAGTGCTGGCCATGAGGATGCACCTCGAGAAACAACGCGGCGGAGATTGTGCTTACTTATTTTATTGGCGGGCTTCCTCGTTGAGTATGAAGCAGGCGGCTGCGGTAAGGTGGCGGCCTCGTCAAGGGCAAGCGCGGGCCATGCGCGCCTATTGCCACTCGGGGGCCTCTCTGTGCTATGCAAGAAGTAGCCACTTCACACGCAGCGCCCAAGCAGTGGCAGAAAAGTCGCAGGCCCAGCCCTTCTGTGCTGCTCGCTCCTGCTTGTCTTGGTGAAGTTCTTTGGTGGCGTAGTGCGCTCGCTGCCAACCCGTCGGCGCCCTTGTTCCTTTTACACCGGCAGGAGATTTCTCATGTGGCGTGAGGGGGTCTGTGCTCCGCGGTTTCGCTCGGCCTCTGCCGCCTAGCACTTCCATCGTTGGTTCGCCATTCAAGTGGATGCCGCCGCCCCTAGTGGTATCGGCTGGGGGGCCTCGGCTGACAGGCAGCGGCTCAAAGGGTTTGCGCCCTTGAGTGGCAGCGCACCGGCATCAACTTCAGAAGGGCTACTTCTCCCCTCGGAGGGTGTCGGCCTTTTGGTGGCTCTGTGGCCAGCAGGTAAGGTCGTAGCTTACTACAACACTGACAACCTGGCGGCCACGAAGGCACGGGTCTTCACCTGGTGACATGTCGCGGGCCTCTTGCCTCATTCGGGGCTTGGTGGTGACTGAGTAATGTGCGAGCTGGTCGCCGCCAAACTGTTCGGGGCTGAGGGGCCGGCCGCTGGTTCTCTCTGTCGTTTCGACGGAGTCGCTCCCTCTGTGTCGAACGACTTTCCCAAGCGGTACCAATGCAGGCCTTTTCGGCTCTGAGCTCCGGAAGCTGGCTGCCTGGAATGGGCGCCGTCGTGAGGGGGGGCCCTGGCTCCTTGAAGTGTGTGCTTGGCCTCTGGCATTCTCTCTTGGTCGGCGACGTGCCTTCCTTGGCAGAACGTCTGCGACCGACCTGCTGCAGCATCGTGCTTGGTTGGTGGTTTCCTTCCAATTGTTTTAGCACTTGTTCCCGCGCTCCTAAAATTCTTGGGCAGGCTCGTAGCTAACCTTCCCACGCTTAGGCGAACGCGGTTCGCGGTGCTCGTCCCGCTGCTTGGTGTTCAGTGAATTCATGCTGCTGCGCGGCCGGTTTTTGCGCATTTCGAAACACCAGCAAGGGAGCCGGGCCTTTCGTGTCGGAGGTGGCGCCTCCGAGTTTTCGCCCGATTCGGAGGGCCACGGCGATGCCTCGTGACGAGTGGCCGGGGCAGCTTGCTGCGCCTTCTTCTCTGCTGCCGCAGGATGCTTCGCAGCGCACATCTCAAAACCATAACCACCGCCACAGCCTCGGCGATACCGTTGCCATCGCTGAGATTGCAGACGCTGCGGAGGGCGCCATTGTTCGCGCCTGTTGTTGTAAGGCGGTCGAGCCATCCAAATGGAGGCGCTGCTTCCGTTTTTGGCTCTCATCCGTGCGCCAGTCTGTCGCGCGCTACCATGAAGCACCTGGGCCCAAGCTCTTCGCTGACTTTGGGCATATTAGTGGGCCGCGTGGTCAGTGTCTACGCCGTACACCTTCCGGGCCCGCCGTCTGTTCGTTGGAGCTCTCCCGCCGTTGACGCCGCACCCCCTCGACTGCGCCACTTTCTTTCTGCTATGGCTCGTATTCCTGGCCATCTCGCGAGGCCTGGCACGTCTTCCGCAGCCTTGCCGCCTGAATGATACAGGGGCAGGGATGTGCGGGGGCAGAGTCGTAGACTACGCTGTGGCCCTGGACCGCTTTGCTGCCGACTGTTCATCTCAGTACTGCACCAGTGTGAAAGTGAAACTCTACCAGCCGCCACGTCGGCGCTTTGATTCGTTGTTTATGCTCAGGGCGCAGCATCCTTCATCTTCACGTGATCAGGCCGATGCCGCTAGTAGGCTAGTCTGGATGGCTGACCGACTAGCAGACCCATTTTCGCCGTATGCTAGCACCTGGAGCCTCGCTCCCAGTTTCCGCCATGGTAGAAAAGCACAGGCGTTCGCTATAACAAACTTAGGCAAGGGCCACTTTGCTGGCGTCGGTCTCTTGTCTTCTCTGTCGCGAATCTTGGAGGGTGCGCACCTTAATGCAGCGCGTGCTTTCACAGTGCGCGGAGCCGGATCTTTCTCTAATCGCTTTCGAATCAATCTAGTCGCTACCCCCTTAGCAGTCGCTTCGCGGTCGATTCTCATTCTCGCTTTGTTTCGGATTTTTCTTTTTCTTCCTCTTTCCTCCCCCCTTTCTCATCGGTAATCCCCCACACTCGCCCACAGGCGGCATTGTTTCGCGCTCAAATTCGTTGCTGATACTCAGACTTCAGCGTCTTTCATCTTCGCGCGATCCGATGCCGCTAGTGGGCTAGCCTGGGGGGCTGACCTTCTAGCAGAATAACTCTCGCCGCATATTAGCGCCTGGGGCCGCGCGCTCAAACTCAAGGTGGCCCGGGGGGGGTCCTACCAAAGTCCATCATGGAGTGCCTAGATCCAAATGAACCACCAGTTGGTGCGCCAGATTGGATACTCCAGATGAAAGGCAAAGAGGCACCCAATCCGAATGCAAGGGAGCACAGCTGGGAACCTCTAAGAGCTTCCGTGGAAGAAGTCTCTGTTTGGCCGCCAACGATCACTCGGAAGCAGAACCCGCCTATTGATGTAAATGTTGATCCCGGAGAAGCCGGCAACGTCTACGTCTCGCCTGTGGCGGTGCCGATGAATGAAGCCCTGGGGTTTCCTCAGTGACTGGTGTGGAATTGGAACCGAGAAGCCTGGGATGATATTTGTAAATATAGAGCGGCCGCGCCCATAGTTAGAATTAGCTTTGGGTGGCAGGCTTGCTTGATCGAATATCATACGGAATGTTTTGTGAGAGGTTCGTTTCTCGGGGTGTAGGGGGTGTCGTTCTTATGTTCTGTTATTCTGTTCCCTTATTTCGTTGAGAATATTGATAGATGTAGATCTGCGGTTATCTTAGTTTTTTTCCTTTTACTTGAGCACTGGCAGTCGAGTACGCTTGTCGAAGATGGCGCGGCAATGGCGATTGGAATTTTCTGGGGAAGTAGGCACTTGGAACAGTGAGCAAGGCTCCCCCCGTGCTTGCGCGAAAATGCTCCACTCGGGTGTAGGGTCTCCCTGGCTCGTTGTTGCTCGTCCCTGATTTTTTTTTTATCGATGTCAGCCCGCCATCTGTTCAAGTGAAGTGCAAGATGCGCCAGGATTAGTGCCCTCGCCGTTGTTAGAAGGAAACCGCCCCAGCGTATTTAAGTATTTGCAAACCTGTTCGTAAGGATGCTGCTTTTCAGCTGCTACTGTCAATGAATGTAAGAAACCGCGAGGAGGAGGTGCTGCTAAATATTGTAACCCAGCAAGAAGCGGGGGGGCCATTACTTAAGTATCCCCAAAGAGCTTGGCTGGCTTTGAAGGGGTAGGCCAGCCTATGCTCTCATGCATGCGTAGCCTTTTTGTTGTTTTTTTAGCCAGCGTGCGAGCCTCCATAGATGCCGCAGAGCTTTTGCCAAGTATGTAATTAAAGGTCTCAGACAGCGACCAGCTGGCCACTTAAGGGCGATCGAATAGGTGGCAAAAATAGACTACATGCTTCGAGGAGGGACTGGGGGTAGCCTTCGCCGAGAAATAGAACCAATTCGCGGATTAAGTTTTTAAAAACGCGCGCTGCCGTCTCAGTAGGAGACACGGCGCCAGTTTATTAAAGCTTATGAAGGTGGGTGGGCTTCTTTTAGTCGTGCACCCCTCTTATTCGTGATGTTGATTCTCGTTTCTGGAAGTGCCATCTCCCTCATGTGCCGATGAGGCATTTTCGGGAATATTTCGGAAGGGGTGGGCAGATGGGGTTAAAAAGTGGGCCACGGGTTCGCCTGTGAACGAGTTTCAGGGCGTGGCGCGTGTCTGCTATCTTCTAGCCGCAACAGCTAGTCGATGTGTGTATCATCCTCGCCACCCGCATGAATTTTTTAACTAGTGCTTCCGCCCAACCTTGCTGGCACCTGGGTGCCTACTGCATCCCAGCGGGAGTGCTAGCGCAGCTAGTTTCCATCGGGTACTTGCAGAAATGTCTGAAGATGAGGCGAAAGCGTGCAGATGGAACTAAGGTGGGGATAAAGCGCATGTTTGTCAATATTTTTCGGACTTATCCTTCAACCGCAGTCAGGAGGCTGTCTTAGGGTTCTAGCTACTTGTAGTGGACTGATGCTATCGGCTTCGGCAGTCAACTACTAATCGCTTTCAGCGTATTGATCGCGCCCATGTATTCATGGATATCAGTATAACTGCAAGCAAGTTCCTGAATCGGAGCAATTCGGTCAGCGCAGTTATGCCCGTGTCTCACCATCATTTTTAACGGATGTAAATACAAAACAAAAGAAGGGCGGCAGACTCTTGAAAGGGTTGTTAGGATCGACATTGCCATTACGTCGCAAGAACAGTTGGGGCAGGAAGTGTCTATCGGGGACCGCGCTTGTGTATTTCCGCGAAGAAGTGTAGCGGACTGCGACTGCATCAAGAGTGGGGCTGCTCTGGTGTATTTCCACAAGTTCTTGCGTTAAAAGTAGGCAGAAGGCTTCGAAAGAGGGGCGAAGACTGAATTTGAAAAAGGGCGTTCTGTTTTCTGTTCGGGTGACGGGCTTGCGGAATCATACCAAGGCACACCTCCCCACCCCACCAGGAAAGTGGCTGTGCGGTTCTCGTGCCTCTTTCTTATCCTTGAGTGATCCATTTTCTACAACAATAACAAGGTGCTCCCAATCTTCGCCCCGTGCGTCAGTGGCGGCACCTCGGTGCTGGCTGTGTTAAATTAATAGACGCACACTGAGGCGCGGTTTTGCGTTGTATTAACTGGACATACGGCTATAGCGCAGATTCCTGTCCTCGTGTACTACTTTGTCAATATTTTTTCTATCCAAATGTAACCACTTATACTAAAGGCAATTGCCATACCAGATAAGTATGACAGTTAAGGGGCTGTGTACACGCACTCCAGAGAGACGACTAAAGGGAGGCACTCAGTTACTTACCAGCCATAGAAGGATTACTAAGTGGCTGGCGCACCGCTTCTGTTTCCTCTCGCAACGATCTAAGCATACACGGCCAAGGCGAGCGCAGAGAGGATTGATTTAGGATCGTGGCTAAGTTTGTTACACTTTTTCCGGGGTACTCCACCGCACAAGACGGAGCATCCGAGAGGTGAAGCAACTTCGGAAAATGACCATGACGGGCGATTTGTCAATACTCTTTGTCTCGGCTGAATAGGGTGGGTCGTCGGTCTACCGGGACACTGAGTATGGGTCCCCAAGTCAGGCGCCATGCTACCCATTAGGGAGTTGTGCCGCCGGAGGAGATGGCGCATCCTTAGTATCTGTTGTCTTGATTAAGCTGTGCAAAAAGCAATGTCATTATTATGTCCACGCCCATTGTCGCTGTCGATCAAAAGTGCCTAACTTCATAGGTTTTATTCTGTTCGCCAAATAGCGACGAGGTTCGTGGCTATCGAGGAGACAAAAACGAAGATCAAAGGCTAGCGGTGAGGCCTTCAATTGCAGAAGCGTCTGTTTTCCAACTGCAGGAAACGCAGCATCCCGCCGATGGCCTTGTGTGGTCGTTAGGGATGCGTCGACGATGTGGTCTGGAATTCAGTGTCCTCCCAGTTAATTCTTGTGAAGTCGTTGCACATTGCGAGGACCTGATCAGACCGGAGTCCCTGCTCCTTTTGCTCCTTCTTAGAGTGCCTCCCAGCTATGGGGAACAAGGCGAAGTCCTCGAAAACTAACGCCAAAAGATTTTTCATGTAGGGATGAAAGCGCACTGCTCGACAACTAATTACAAACGATTTTTTTTTAGTGCCGCGATTTGGCCACATTGCCAAAACGAATAGCAAGCAGGGGGCGTCTCTTTGACTTCGTGGTGGGGCGGGTTATTACTTCTACACATCTACCTGGAGGGGTAAGACTTCTACACATCTATCTTTCTTGGGGGGTTAGCCTTCTACAAATTCTAACTCTTCTTGTGGGGCTTTGCTTCTGCGAAATCATCTCCAGGGGAGGCCGTACTTCTGCACATCCAGCAGTAGTTTTCTCTTATGTTGATCTGTTCGACTAAGATCCTTCTGAGTTTTGCTGACCTTAATATTAGGACTCTAGCGCGCCTTGCTATAATCGTAGAACTAACTCACTTGCGCCGTCTATGTGCTTTATCGTCTTGCCACTGAACCAGCGTTGCTTCTAATATAGATAGCGCCACTAAGTTCGCTGCGGATGCATGCTGCTTAGGGCGTGCTGTCGTACTAATGCGCCCGCTGTGTGAGTGATTTGAGGTATAGCGGCCTCAGCGGCTAGTCTATCAAAGGAGGTAAAGGGAGTAACAGAAGGAGAGACCATCCTCAAGCCCAAGAAGAATTGTAGAGCGATGTAGAAGTAGAAGAAGCAATAAGTAAAAAGGAGAATAGCAGAAGTTTTTACTCGTATTCTTAAGATCTCCGCACCATGGCCATGTCCGCTCCAAGGGAAAAGCGTTCCTATGAACTGGAAGTGAGTAGAGTAATATCTTCAGGGCTTTCGAAGTAACCGGATACCTTTTTATCTACATGCGTAGAGCTAGGGGCAGAAGTAGACAGAGAGTAGTATCCCACGACTTTCGAAACGATAGAGGATGCTTGCATCTACTTAGGGTACATATTATATGGAGAACTGGGGGAGGTAGAGTAATATCTTCGTTAGTGATTCCGAGTGTCCACCTGGTAGATAGAGTACTACCAGAAGAGCTAGGACTAATATCTTCAGTAATGGCCTCGAAATCACAGGACGCCTCGAAAGACATGATATGTGGAAGCGCTTCATCACGTTACTCTTGCTTGCTATTTTTGAATTCATGTGCCACGAATGTGATATAATTAAACACGCGCTTGCCACTGGTGTTGACGCCGCCGAAATAAGAGGGGTCAAGCCTAGGTTTCGAAGTGACAGGATGTTCAGGGTGTTGACGTGCCTGAGTTGAAGTGCGTCAATGTAAGTTCTCGGTGTGTGATACCTTGCTACCGATCGTGTTGGTGGCAGCGTGAATGAGTGAATTCTCGGTGTTGGTGATGAAGTGCGCAAAAGATACAGGAGTGTGAAACAAGGAGAACCTCAAAGCGTAAAGCAGTTCTCGAGAATAGAATTGGCCTACATCGTTGATGCGATACTCGGAGGGGCGGAAAGATCGTTTCGCGCCGCGGAAAGGGCTCGGAGGGTAACGGTTTTGAGAAATAGTAACGGCACTCCACGAAAAATTGGTGAACTAGTATGACTATCATGAGGAAGATCATTGAAGATGGCTTTCTACGATTGATTATTCCTACGATTGGCTGGCATCAGCCTCGCATTTGCTACAAACTATGAAAACAAGGGTTTTAGCTATTTTTAGATCACCTATAATAATGGTAGAGAAAAGGTCAGGGTGGAGCAATGGGTGCGTGAGTGAATGAATGTAGGCCACACTCGTAGGGATATTTTTGGCACTTTTCCCACGCTTAGCTGCTGTGAAACTTTGGTAAAAGCAGACACAAGAAGTAGTAGGAGTTGCGCAGCACTTTCTTTGTTGGTAATGTATTCTTAGGCATCAATGTTTCTTCCAGTTCCACCTCTCAAATCATGGCTTTCCTGTCCTCCACGCAGAAGCATGTGCGCGGATTCACCGGAGGATGCAGGACTACCTTGTGGCAGGTGAGTCGTCGCCCCTCCTATCGTCCTAGGCCAAAAACCGAAGGTTGCATGAATGTGGTGTGATGTCTAAATGCGTATAGGAACTCTCTTGACTTGCCAGTGGTAGAAGGTGAACTCCAAAGGCGTGCGATGCGGATGCCCCTACATATAGCCCCTGTATTACCTCAAGAGTAGGCACGTCAATCACGCCATTGATGGGTGCTATGGAAAAGGATGCAGCTTAGCTGATATGTGCTGCGGAGAAGGATGCAGCTTTTTCGTCGACTTCGGATGGTGGAACGAGACGTGCCACCAGAAGGGTGCCCACAGTACGAACGTGGAAGCAGAAGTCGGCGGAAAAATCTAGTCCGGTCTTTCAAGGTGGACTTGCCGAATGCGGTGGACTTGCCGAGGGGTCATGGTAATGGTGCTGCAAGTTCTGCAACACCTAGTTCTGCGGAGACTTTGAATGATGGCACTGCAACAGCTTCGAATGATGGTTGGAGAAGTTCCATAAGAACTCTTAGTGGAAGTAGGACTATAGAACAGCAGGTAGAGCAGAACGCCAGGAAAGGAACGAATCATGGCTGTAGCTCTGCCATCTTTAGTACAACAGAAAAGAACCTCGCAGAGCAGCACTCACGCAAAGGGAAGAAAAAAGGAGCATCTTCTTGTGTTCCGACACGTGGCGCGACAGGTTCTACATCTTCTGCATCACGTCGACGAGGTCGGGAAGTGTCGACGTTTCCGCTGCTACCTTCGCCGGAGGATGTGCCAGGTTGTGTGAAAGACACAGGCGTCGTGAGTGCTTCCAGTATATTAAGGAAACACTCTACTACTGCTCTACTAGTATCTTTTTTTCTTAGGCGTCCACTACTTGTAATTCTATCCTGGTAGTGAGGTGTAACTCTTATCCTAGTACTGAGGTGTAACTCTTATTCTGACACAGTGAGGTGCACCCCCTACTTTAGTGGCTGCGAAAGTTAAAGTCGTCTCCCGCCATTAGGTTAGGAGAACTGATGGGGACGCAGTGAGTGATGAATGAACTAATACCAAAAAAGGGGGTCTTTAGCAGTCAAGCATTTCAGTAGCAAGCATGTTTTTTTGCACTGTTCGTTCTGCTTCAAAGCTCATTATCAAGTATTTTCAACCGAGGAGAATGAAATAGTTACTGTTTCTAAGTGCTGCAACGTCCAGTACAGCCTGCTCGTCGTTCATATCAGCGGCTTGCAGAGATACGTTTCAGGCTATACAAGAGGCACCGTAACATGACATAAGTAGGTGTCATCTAGTTTGAATGTTTAGAAGTAGTCTGCAGTGAATCTAGAGCTGCTGTCTAGCTAGCATCTTCTGGATTTTTTGTTCCACCATGGTCTATTTTTATGCATAGTTTGTTCCTTAACTGAAAGCTTGTCCTCAACTGTACTTGAAAAACAGCTTGCCTTCGCCGCAGGGGAACTTTGCTTTGTCACCGCAAGTGCAGCAGATAGTAGGGAGGATGCATGAGGAAAGGGAGAAGCTGGTGTCTCGATTTCGCGAACGAGAGCGAGAGATAGAGTGCGAACGCACCGCATTCGAAAAAGTGGAGAAAGAGTTATGATGATTGATGGTGTATGAAGAAGCACTCTTATATAGAACAAGAATTAGAGAAGCACACAGTACAGTTGAAGATACGCACATCAGAGTAGTCGCGTATTTATTTACGGCATCGGTTTAATGCTCAAGAAATAAGACTTACAACCTACTCGTCCTGCATTTGACTATCGTGATTCTCATAATCATTATCTTAAAAATCAACTCTACTAAAGCTGTCATTATTTTTCTTCTTTTTTTTTTTTTTTTTTTTTTTCCTTTAATCAAATTGATGCTTCTAGCACTAGTATTGCCTATCTAATGAAGCTGGCAATCTTTCGCGAGGCGTACCGTTTGCGCGAAGAGGATGTGAGGAAGCTAAATCTACGTGTAAGAGAATTGGAAGGAGAAAACTCTGATGCACGGAGAAGGAACCAGAGTAGGGAACTGCACGTGGAGGATGCAACATCTTCTAGTGGAGCATCGATTGTGATGAATCAGAAGAGTACTAGAGAACCACATGTTGAGGAAGCAACTCCTTGTAGTAGGAAGCAGTCTTGGTCGGTGATTGAGGAAGCAATATCTTCTAGTCTAGCACCAAATCGAAGTAACTTGTTGCCGATGAAACGAGAGTCTAGGACAATATTCTCGGATGAGGAGATCTGGGGAAAGACGCGTAAGAATGTTCTCATCGCCGAGAATTATCAGGAGAGTCCACTTATTAGGGGACAACATGTTGAGGTCGGTAGAGGTTTTGTCGTTGGTAACCTTCATTAAAGTTAGTTCCTTGTCGTCTACTAAATAACTACTGCTCGTCAGGGAAGCTGATCATGACCAAATATATACCTGACGAATTTAGGTGGTTTATATTCAGATCGTGATTCAGTTTTTCTTGTTCCAGTCTCCACCATTTTTCTGTAAATTATGAAACTGAAGATCGATTGGCGGAGCACCAAGTCGAGTGTGCAGTAGAACTCAGTAGGTAGAAATTGCATCTGTTTGTTCTTTTTCTTATAGTTCGGTACAATCAACTGAGCACTGCTCTTGGGGGACTTCTAATTTGTGCGAGCAGCAACTGGGATCGTCAAGAGAAGGCAACATGAACGATGGCCCTTCCACGAAGCTCCAAGAAGGTGAGGAGACTCAGCAGACTGATCTTCTCAAAGATGAACCAGATACTAACCTCCTCATGAAGAACACCTTGGAACTGACGCCGCATGTGAGTCCTAGATCCAACGACAGTCCTAGCGACAGTCCTCACGACAGCCCCCTCAACGACAGTCCCGTAAACCCGCGCGCACGCGTACCAAATCAAACGACATTTTTATGACCCAGACTCTACTGGTATTTCGTCACATCTAAATTTTTTGAAGGGTGGAAATTGATTTTCTTTGTGCATGTAAATTACAATAAGATTTTTACAATGAAAAGTTGATTCTCCTTGTGCATCCAAATTTAATTAGGGAAACAACGTCGACTACTACTGCTAGAATATAGGATATGATTGGAATTTGTGCTGCTAGAGGACATGATTGGAACTTGTGGGCGTTGCATACTTGTCATTAGGAGCTTTCATACTTTGGCCGCGAAAAGGATCTCAAGCGCTCGTGGGGCCCACGGGAAAATACAAACGATCGAGCAGTAATGAATTTACGGCGTGGCTTTCTATATTTGATACAACATGCATCTTGAAGATCGATGTTCCAGGGTGGCTGTTCTTGTACTAGTTATGACAGTAGAGAATGTGAAAGAAAATGAAGAATGTTCTTGTAGGTAGAGGATGCACAATGCTCCAATAGAGAATGTGAAAGAAGATGAAGAATTTTCTTGTAGGTAGAAGATCAAGAATGTTCTTGTGGGTATACTCAGGCCTAAACAAGTACACCAATTTAACAAGCTCTACTTCTAAACAAGGTGGATGATCTTCAGGATGTTCTTGGGTCCGCTCCTCCCAGCAAACATGCTTCCGTAAAGAGAGAATACGTGGACTACCTTGAAAGGGAGATTTGTCGTTTGCAGGCACATTGTGAAAATCTGGAACTACAACTGGGCCATCGTCTCGACAAACAGCACGCTTTTGTTATGGCTTCTGCGTGTTCATGGATGGGAATGCTTGTGATCACAATGTTACCTTTTGATTAAAGGAGAGTGTTGCAAATGGAAGAAAATGTTGCGCATCTACTCCAAAATAGTAGTTTCTAAAACAGGAGATTCTACTACTTGTATCTCCCATGTGTAGGAGCGTCCCTGAAGTACCCTAAGAACAAACTACCCTACTTTGTAGAGTTGTGTTTCTATCCTTGCGTGGAGTCATGCTTCTAAGTTTCCTAGCAAAGACGTCGACACGCATCGAACTCAAGTGCAGAGCATTCGAGACCTCATCTTCGGCAAAACGTGACGTGTGCCGTAGTGATGAATAATGATAATGATTTATAAATGCATTGAATTAAATTCATCAAAAAGTTTCTTATGCAATAAGCATTTGTGCCGTTGTACGCAAGATCTGAGATGATTTGCAATCAAGTTTTCAAGAGCCAAGTAGCCGTCGTTCTGTTTCGTAGTAGTCAATTTTTTTACAAATGTCAAAATACAATTCCCTACGCCCTCTAAGGTTGATTTTTTCGAAATTTCTTTATTGCATAGTCAGTTTCAATATTTCCGAGAAAGATGTACGAAGTGAACGTAGCGTCGTGGAGTAAGTGATTACAAGTGTGTAGTAAGTGATTACAAGTGTGTAGCTTTCAAGATGGTCCGGGACGGACGCAAAAGGCGTCTTTCTCCTACCGCCTCAGAGCAAGTAGGCGCCGCTTTATGCATCTTGCAATCCGATCTTCGATTTGAATACTTCTAATGATACGCATATCTTGTACTAGTTCTTCAAGCAGCACGCTTGAACACGACTTACAACTCTTTTTCACCACGCAACATTGAGTACTTTTTCGGATTTTTTTCAACACCTGAACGCAATTGAATTGGGGGATGAATATCAAAAACATGCTCTCACGACACGCGCACACGTAATAAGAATGAATCCTTCTGCGCACACTTGATAAAAACATGTTGGGAGCCATCCACATCCAACTGGCTTTCTGACGCTTCTGTATCTACTTGAAGCCGCACTTGGACCCGGATTTTCACTTGGTGACGGCGGAAATAAAGCAACCTATCCTACCTGAAATGGCTAGTTTGTGGAAATGGCTATCATTTATTGAGTAGAACAAGCTCAATATAGTGAGTGAGCAGGACAGTGGGCAGGAGCGAGTGGGTAGCCCTTAATAAATGTGCATAGTACGTAGCATAGTAGGTGCTGAGAGACGCAAGAGAGTAGAAAAGGAGGTTCACTGTAACTAGGGAAGTTGCTCCTCTGGACCCCACGTGGAAAATATAGTGGGCTAGGAAGTTCCTCCTTACTGCAACGCGATTTTTTTAGCTTCCTTCTCCTTGACTATTCTGAAAACGAGAAAGAGAGAAGGAAAACACTCAAGCAGCCTGAAAGGTTCAAAGAGTTGCAACGTCGAACGTGAACGAGAATAAGAGTGGGCGCTTGCGCTGTTCTTCGTCGCTGTTGCATTTTTTTAAGATGTGAAAGCCTTTACGCGTGAACAGTAAAGCGAGCCCATACCTGGCTCAGCCCGCCAGAGTAGCAAGCCAGGCCACGAACCCGAGAGAGCTCGCCGCTGCTGCTTCAGCCGCGAGCCCGATTCGGCCCCGTCTTGCATGCTTAGGACAACTCAGCCGCGCGAACCCGAGCCCGAGCCCGGCCTCGCGAGCGCGGCCCCTTGCGGGCCCGGCCCCGTGCGAGCCCAGCTCCGTGCGAGC